TCACAAACTTTTTCCATATAGGGTTGACTATGCCTTTGCCTCTGAAAGAACTAAAGATCTGTCCTCCAACTGATAAAACATTAAGTCTCAGTGTCAGAAGTGTCTGTTTTGTCAACATCCCTGACACATCACAGATGTTCCATCTCAAATCCAATGGAAAAACAATGAGGGTCACCAATCAGTTGTTCTCTATGTGCAGGTGGGAGAACAATCAGAAAATAGTATTATTTAATAACAGGAGAAGGATGTGAGAGGTTAAAAGAAGACCATGTTAAAGTCCAGTCAAAGGAACTTCACAAGAGAAACAAGTTATTAACTCTTATGACAGAAATTTTAAATCCTGTTTTCTCTTTCACAATTCCTACATTATGTGAAGAAGAATGTCTCCCAATTCAGAGAAAAGTTTACCTGAATGAAAAATAGGGCATTCTGAATTGGCCCATTATGCCTTCCTTTCAAAACATAATACAGAATAATCATGTAAAATGTTTACTATGAAAAACTTGTGGTAGCTTATTCATTGAATACATTTCAGACCCTGTACAACTTTAAAACTTTCATTTTAGAAAACAACTCCTCTCAGTACTGCCAGGGTTACCAACTTAGGAAGGCACCACTATTTAACATCTGCATCTGTTTCCTCAAGCTTGTCTTTGTGCTGTTACCATTGTCATGAAAAAATATATTTATTTCCCAATGAATTGGTATTAGTTACTACTTTCTCACTGTTGTGATAAAATACCTTGACAAAACAAATTAAAAAGGAAGGGTTTGCTTTGGCTCACAGTTCCTGAGTATGGCTCACCATGGTGGGGAAGTCCTGGTGGTGACATTGCGTCCTCATTCAGGAAGCAGAGAGCAATGAATGCTTGTGCTCAAGCTTTCTCCTTTTTATTCAGTTCAGGACCCCAGCTCATGGGTAGGTCTTCTCACCTCAAGTAATCTAATCTAGAGAATTGCCCACAGACATGCCTAGAGGCTTATCTTTAGATTTTGTCAAGTTGGCAACCAACATTAACCATCACACCACTGTATTGTGAAAGCATCCTGAAAGGTGCTGTTGATGAGGCAAGCAAACTCAGGCACAGCATAATAGTCATGTTGTTGTACCTCATCCACTGGACCCCAAAAAGACTACTGAGGACCCAACACACCAAAATGCAAAAGCAAAGGTTTATGGTTTATTCTGGCTTAAGCTCAGGCTCTCAGACCTCACCAACTCAACGGATCAGTGCTGAGAGCCCAGAGTAAGGGAGAGTGAAGGCTTTTATAGGTTTTAGACAAAGGGTGGGGGGATACCAAAGACACATTTTGGTAGAGCCCAGAGTAAGGGAGAGTGGAGCCTTTTATAGGTTTTAGACAAAGGGGGGGAAACTGAAGATACATTTTGGTTGCTTTAAGGAACCCGCGCTTGCCAACATAATTTTAAACTGATTGGATGTATAAGATGCAGCCCTGGAAGTTTCTTATTGGTAGGTGCTGGGCTGTGGGCTGTGGAATGTGCTGACTGTTACCTGTGGGGCCAGGAGTCTCCGTTTTTACCTTATAGGGCAGTTTTTATGCGCGGGTTTGCTTAATCTATAGTTTTCTGGAAGGGGGATGGGGAATAGCAGGCAGGGGTCAGGGCATGCCAGGGTATGTCTAGGCATGTCTAAAGCAGCAGCCAAGCATTTTACAGAAGCTAAAAGAGCAATTAGTGGGGGTCTGGAGGGATTGGGGGTAGCTGGTGAATGAAGAGGGTCTCAGGGTTCTATAATGTGATATGATAGTTTGATAGAAAACAAATATCTTCTAGAGACTTGAAGGAGAAAAGGTGTCTTTTATATTCAGTATCCCTCATGTAACAAATCAGAAGGGATCTTAAAACATTATTTGATGTGTGTTCATGATACCTGTCTGTCTCTATTTTGTACAGAAATTGTGTTTTCTGTAGAATGTTTTGGAAGGTGATCCATTCTCAAATGAATGGAGTGATTTGGTGGGTCCTTTCCTAAAGCTAGATAATGATCTGAATTTTTTAATCTTTTCAAACGTAGAATCTATGGTGCCATAAAACTATGTCTTCTTCATGCTGGACATGGTGGCCCACACTTTTAATCTCAGCACTCAGAAGGCAGAGGCAGGCAGATCTCTGTGCGTTCAAGGCCAGCCTGGTTTAGATAGTGAGTTCCAGGACAGCTGTGGCTCAAAAAATATCACCCCCCCAAAAAAATAAAACCTATTTCTTCAAAACAGAGAACAGTAATCAGGTACAGTTTGCATTTGGAATTGGCAACTCCATATTTAGTTTAGATTTCCAAATAATTTTGGTCCATTATTTTTTGTATATTGAGATATTGTTACTTGTTTGAGTCTTACTCATGAATTTTTTACTGAATATTTTTCCATTTTTTTAAAAAATGAGATTTATTTTCATGTGTGTGTGTGTGTGTATGTGTGTTTGCAAGTGCATGGGCATGTACACTACCTGTGTATAGTTGCCCAAGGAGGCTAGAAGAGGAATCAGTCCCAAGAGCTGGAGAAACCACCCAACATGGGTGTTGGGAACTAAACTCTGGTCCTCTGGAAAAAGTGGCAGTCTAGAATTGCCCAGTGAGAAGGTTGTGGGTGGTAACTCAGAGGTTTCATTTTGATATAGTTTTCTCTACTTGTTTCCTAAAATAATTTACCATGTAGAAATTTGGAGCTAAGAACTATAATCAACTTAATAAGCATAATGATACATTGCATTTACTCAACATTTATATCACTTAAAATAGTTACCTCTTTGTTTATCAAGGCTTTTGATATGGGAACACATAGTCCATAATCTTGAATTTGTCAAGTTTTCTGTGCAAAGTTAAACTATAAAATTCATATAGGTTCTTTTAACAAAAAGTATTTCAAATGTGGGCGTTATTCTAAAGGACAAATGCAATGTATTACACTTAAATACAGACTTAATCAAGACAATAACCCATTTGTCCATATAGAATAATTTGGTGATAGAACTGGGGCAGATGCTGGGGAACAAGAAGTTAGAAAACTGAACTCCAGCTGAGACTGTTCTAGTGTGCCTGTCCTAAACCTGAGCACATTCTTAGAGTGCCGTTCACTAGCAATGTGCAGAGGTATAACTAAAAGCTGAAAGTGACTTAAGCAAAGACCATTACTACTCCTACATAGGAAGAAATCCAGTGATAGGATGTTGTGGATTTGGTACAGTGGCCGGCTACAATCGTAGATAAACCCAGCACTATCTGCCTTCCTGCTCTGTTTTCCCTCTACCCTTACCTTAGTCTTGCTCCCTCATTGTTCTAAGATGGCAGCTAAATTCCAGGCATCACAGTCCCATTCAAAGATAAAAAGCCAGAGAAGCTAAAAACTATTTCTGTTAAGTTCTTCTTTCTCAGTATAATAGTGTGATCCAGCAGATTTCCCCACATATATAGACCAAAACTTAGTTGCATAGCTACGCCCTGTGTGGTTTACACAAAAGAGTCTGGAAAGAGAGTTCGGCTTCTCTAGTCTGTGACGGGAGTCACACCAGGGGGAAGACAGCTTTCCTCTCGCCAATGCGGGGTTAGTCATTTGCTCTCTCAGATACAGCTTCGGTCAACTAAGTCCTTTTAGAAAATAAAATAATAAAAAAAATTAAAACAGTAAACGAACTTTACATTTTTTTCAGAGAAGTTTGTGTTTTGGTTCAAACTTCCCTTGTTTGCACATTTCCCCCGTTTTAGAAACAAAATAAGCTTCTTCCATCCGCAGTTCTGAATTTCTAAAGTGACCAGTTTCTCCTCTCCTCTAACAAGAAATACTCCTCCTGACTGGTCCAGACACTGAGTCATTCAATTTAACTTTGATGGGGCTGTATCTATTTTTGAGGTTTGCCCATCGTGACTGTCTGTAGATACTTTGAATATTTTTCCAGCACTTTTCTGAGTTTATGCTGCACTAAATTTAAATCAGAAAAATAAGATGTAAAAAGCTAAGTAAATAGTTCTATTGAAAACAAGGTAGAAGTTATTACCTTCTATTTAAGAAATTCCTAAGAATTCAAAATGCATTGAATTTGTCCAACTGACATTCCATTTGCGATATCTCATAATCCCATGTAATATTACAATTTACTTCTCCATTTTTTTTTACAGAAAATTCCACAGCTTCCCCTTATTACTAAAAGTGCCCTCCCCTTCACTCTCCAAATAAATGTGTGTTTGGAAATTAAAACAAAACATGGTATGAGAACAGCTTGGAAGCCAGAATATGGCCAGCATTGTATACCAGATATCATTGTAAAACAACCACGAACAGTGCTAGCCTATGGGTTAGTCAGGAACTGCTGACAGCCAGAAGATCTGTCTGAATACACGGTGTCAAAAGCTACCATGCAAAGATGCTTGTTTTACCAAGATGGTCTATGGGAATATTTAGCTGTTACATGGTAAATGCTGTTATTTTGGTTTCTAAAAATGTCATGACAGGAAATGATTTCAGGGAGGAGTTGCCAAGATGGCTGTTAGGTAGAACCACGAGGGGGAGGGAAGAGAGACATCTAGAAAATGAGAGGCTAGAAAAAGTGAAAATATAAATTAATATCTTCAGTAAGATGGATTCTTAAAAACAACAACTTGATTTACCTCCTGTATTTTACCTTTTCCAGCTGGCAGGCCCTGTTGGAAGAGGGAAACCTCATGTTCAACAGGCTAAAGGACCCTGATCCTCTGGCTTTGGATCAGTCACCAAATGAACAAGCTGGCAAGGAAGATATCCAGCCAATATGAAGCCAGAAATTGCGCCTCTCCTTCCATAATCCCAGAAGCTACAGCCAATGGGCAACTGAGGCCTTTGGGGAAAGGTTTCTGGAGGTTCTGAAAAGCTGGAGTTCCTCTCCCTATTGGGAAGTAGAAGATGAAACAGTTCAGAGTGAGCTGGTCCAGAACATCCATAGGTGTTGCTGCATCAGGACACTCCTACTTTCCTCAGAGGGATGCTAAAGCAACTGCTTAGTAACTAAGGAGCTGCAGGAAAGAGTCAAATGAACAAAACTATCTGACACAATTTCAGCTTGCTATAACAAGAAAGTCTAACCTATTCCAGTGTTTTTTTTCCACATGAGACAACACTTTATATAGGCTCAAACAATAAAAAAAATTAAGAAATGTAGCAGTCTTAATAATGATTATGGTGTACTCATTCATTCAAATTTTATGACAAAAATTAATAAGCTTTCAGAAATTTTTAATGCATCTATATTAAGTGGCAATAATGGGCCAATATAATCATATTTATAGCATTTGAAAGTATCAGTCTTTAATTGCTTGTGCTATTTTGTCTTACTTGTCAATTATCTATTTTGTCTGTTTCAGAAGAAAAAGGAAAGAAAGCAGGAAAGGAAGGATAACAACACAGAAATGAATCTGGTTTTTTCTCACTGCCCACAATCATGTTTATATCGGTTCTTTCCAAGTATGAACTTTCTGCTTTAGATAACTTCTTCTCATAGATGACTTTTTATTAATTATACTTTAAGTAACAATTTGTCTTCTGATATTTATGTTAGATATACAAATACCCCAAAATCACTTAGAATCTCAAGAAAGTCATCTCAGATAGAAAAATAACCACCAATCTATAAAGGCTGGACTACCGTAACTCACAGACATAAACTTAGAAAATTTCCAATACACCTATAGTTTCCTTCATAGCATTTTAAGTAAACTCAACACCTTCCCCCTTCTATGGTAGCAGAACTGAGTTTCCTCCACCTTTTATTTTCAGACTACAGTTTTATCTCTTATTTTCAAGTATGTTTCTTATATGTTTTAAAATGAAAGCTATACAGAATTTTAAAACTGAGTTACATGCCACTGTCCCCCCATATGGCATATTGTCTTGAACCCAAGAAGTGTTAATGAATGTATATCATCATAAAGTTCTGTAAGCATGTTTTTTAACCAAATAAGGTAGAGTGAAAGTAAAAAAAAAAAAAATGGGGAAGTAAGGGAGGACAGAAAAGAGGGAGGAAGGGAGAGAGGGAGGGAAAAACTAAGTCAATAAATATATATTCATGGTCATTGTAATTTCTATCATATGTAAGATATGATTTCAGCCTAACTTGGGCATAGTATCAGAGTTAGATGAGTCGCTTCCATGTCTTTAACATGTAAAGTGAGTAACTGCTCCTCTGTCCTTGCATCAGGCCTCCATAGTCCCTGGGCAGTGAGAACAGTGCCATCCTCAACTCGAACATCTTCTCCATTCCTTCTCTAGGACTTCTACTCCAAAGATATGAATGTTCAAGTTTTCTGGAAGTCTGACTTTGGTACAGCTAAGAAATAGAAGGTATTTGGGGCCTACTAAGCACTAGAAATTCCATATTTTGACAAGAGTGCTTCATCTAATTTTTAATGTATTTATATATATAAATTGTCTTCATGACAGGCATGGTAGCACATGTCTTTAATAACTAGTACTTAAGAGGCAGAGGCAGGAGGATCTCTGTGAGATTCAGGTCAGCTTGATCAAGTTCCAAGCCAGCTGGGGCTACAAGGGGATTGTGTCTCAAAAACAAACAAACAAACAAACAAACAAAAAAATTACAAATCACACTGGAAGATACATGCTAGTTTTTATACTTGACCCTTCTCTTACCTATTAAAAAGAAATTAATTATGGGCTCATCAATTAAGTAGTCTAAGAGACAATTTTCAACCTTTAAAAAATAAGTTAAAATTTAAGAGTATAAAACAACTAAAGATTAACTAGTAACTAGAATAAGAAATTTTATTATTTTCTTTTAAATAAATACTTTAGCTATTACTTGCATTCATTATTTCAATGTGTGAAAGAAAATTCTACTTTTACACTTCATTTTCACGATGGAAAATTAGAATTCACTCATTACAAGTTGATTTTTTTTTATTTCTCCACTAGGTTAGAATTAATTTATTTTGTGTCAATTATAATTCATATGACATTGGCCTATTTTTCAGATCCCAAGCAGTTCCTGTAAAAATTGATTCTTTATCAGCCGACAATTTAGATAAATATCAAGCTCACGTACCTAAGCCAAAGAACATTTCTAACAGCCTCCTTTATCTCTGAAGACAGAGTTCACCAGAATTTGAATGCTAGATAGCACAGATGCAATTACCTCAGAAGTCTTGGAAATGAAAGTTCTGTTTCCTGAGGCATCTACATCATCCTGAGGTCACAAACAGAAATAGAGATTCTAAGATACTTGACTGAACAGCTGCCATTGTTTACCAATCAAGGAAAACGGGTTATGATAGGTAAATGAAAAGGTAATTACACAGAGATGCTAAAAACGAGAACATGTGTAGTGATTTGTAATAGACAAAATCATTATAGAGCTGAGGTTACACTGCACTGAATGAACCTGAATATATTTTGATGAATCAAATCTACAAAAACAAAGTACTAGGAACCAAGAAAAGTAGCATCATGACGTGAAGGAACACTGAATGGGCCTTTCAGGTGGCACCTGTTAGATTTGGGTCAGATGATATATTCCTTTTAGGAAACCAGGTCTGGCCAACTCTCATTATATGAATGGGTGGTGCTCCATCTTAAATCAGGGAATGGAGTCCATGCCCTAGGTCTGTCCAATTAGCTCACCCAATTCCCTAGACATTTCCATGAATTCAGGAGTGGGCCCATAAACCAAGTTGGTTGATTCAGATGAATCCCCAAACTTAGGCGTAAATATTCTCTTTTTCAATTTACTTGAATATAGTGAGGAGCTCCTGGCAACCATCTTACTGTCAAGCATCTTTGGAAAAACAAATCTCTATCCTGTGGCTATCACAAGAAGTTACCACAAACACAGGTGGTTAAAATAACAGAACCTCATTCTCTCACCGTTCTGAAGGCCAGAAATTCAACATCAATTTTAGTGGGCTAAAATCAAGGTCCTGGCTGGTCATTGTTCTCGCTGGGTGTTCTGGAGGAGAGTCAGTTCCTTGCATCTTCAGGGACTAGTGGCACTCATACTTATTTTGCTGTGGGTACAACCTAACAGTCTTGGTCTCCGTATTTACAGTGTCTATTCCTCATGGGTATCAGTCTTCCTCTGCCTCACTCTTTTGCTTTTTGTTTTCAGTGTTAGGGACTCTGCCATCTTATAAAGACACTTATGATTGATTAGATTTAGGCTGTCACAGATAATCTCTCCACACCACAATCCTTAATCCCATCAACAAAGATCTTTTGTCTTTAGGAATGTTTACTGATCTCAGGGATTAGAATTTGAAACCTGTGGATGGTCATTATTTAGTTTTCTAAAGGCACTATAGAGAAAAGCAGAACTTTGAGGTGGGATGAAACTGGGTTAGGACATTATTTGAATGTCTTGATGAATCTTTACCCATTTTTTAGGTGTAAATCCAAAGAGATTTGTCAGCCTGAGTTGAGCCTTCAGTTACTTGGACACCAGACAATTCTGATTGATTCAGGACTTCTATTAGGTTGGAACAAAAGGAAACAAATGTCTTGACCACCAATTTTAAATCATTATAGCTAGGACAGAAACATTGTTACTAATCAAAATAGGAGCCATTATAATCAACACATATTTTGTCAATGAGAAACAAGTTTATTGATTCTTATTGTTATAAAAATCCATGCTTTTGGATTCCACCAAGCTCTTAGAAAACATTTTCTGCTGGTTATGGAAATGTTTTCCCTGCAAAATGTTGTCAGGATGCTTAAAGAAGTGGTAGATGGTTAGTAAGAGCTCAGGTGACTAGTGGATGAGGCAAAACCTCATTGCCTGATTTGTTCAACTTTTAAAAATACATTTTTAAAAAAATTTTATGTGTATGAGTGTATTACCTGCATATATGTAAGTGTACTGGTGTAGAGCGATGCCCACAGAGGTCAGAAAAGGGAGGGCATTGGATCCCTTCAAACTGTAGTTAGGAATGGTTATTAGCTGCCATGTAGGTGCTGGGATCCAAACTTGGGGCCTCTGCTAGAGCAGCCACTGTTCTTAATCACTGAGCCATCCCTCCAGGCCCCTGACTCGTTCAACTTTTGAAGCACTGGTTAGGTAATGTGCAGTGTGGCACTGTGGAGAATTGGATCCTTTCTGTTGACCATTGCTGACTACAGATATTGCGGTTTCTAAGGGCTTCTCATCAATTTGGTGAGCATACTTCTCAGACAAAATGGTTTCACCACGATTCAGAAAGCTGTGATCAGACTGCCAACAGAACACAAACAGGATTCATAAGCCCTCCCTACCCCTTTTTTCATACAAGTTTGACTTTGGGAAATAATTTGGATTTTTTCTTAGTCCAACCACTGAACTGGTTGTTGCTGATTATTAAATACAATACAATTTTTGTTGCATATCACAGTCTAATGAATAAATGGGCCCATTGTTGTGCAGAAAGAGAAGATAACAGTTAAACATGACATTTTTTTTTTGGTTCTCAGTCAGCTCATATGGTGTCCACATCCCTTTACTGAGTTTTTTCACCATTCCAATCTGCTTCAAATGCTGAAAAGCCTTTTGAATGGTCCATATTGAGTTCTTTGGAAAGTTCTTATGTAGGTATAAGAGAATCAGTTAGGATGATTGCTCTCATGGGTCCTGGTCAACTTCTGATGGTCAGCCACCACACTTCTCATCCTTGAGTTTCCTTTGCAAAACTTCTTGAATCACCACTGCACTGTATGCACAATAACAAATTCTGAGCCAAATGCATTGTTGATGCTGCGAGTTTTATCTTTTGCTTTATGACCCATTTAGAACTTAAACTCGCTCAAATTTATTTTCCTCTAACATAATTCCCATAACATAAAGTATTAAGTCAGTGGCAAAAAAAAAACCCATAAAGTGGAAGATGTGTATTAAAATAATAAATAGCAACTACATTTATTAAGACTACTTTAAGAGAACAGAAAACAGGTGTTAATAAGGGAGATATGGATAAAATTGGGTTATTTTAAGTGGAGGGGGAGGGGCGGTTATACAAGGAACCTAGGGGATAAAGGGAAAGAAGGAGCTCAAGAGAGGTAGGACCATAGGAGAAGTGATTATTAAGGGAGAAATGGGGAAATGGGGGCACCTTAAATGGAGAAACAGTGGTGGAAGGATTAGATAATGTGAGAGATAAA